ATAGGGTCTCAAAATACCTGATACCTTAAGCTAAGAAAACACAGAATCAGTCATGTCAAACTTCATATTCTTTTGAAAAATTACCAGTGAGACATTATTAAAACACTTTCTCAAAATCTTTTAATAAACTCAATACTGTTTTGTTTTTATTTTACAAAATGTTTCAGTTTATAAACATTTCAATCAAATGTCCTCAAATGTTTCCTTCTGTAGAACATCCCCCCCTTTCCCCCTTTCTTATTAAATCATTAAATTGTCCAAGGTATGCCTTTTACAACCTGATGAGTCAATTTTTTTATCTCTTTGTTAGCATTCACATATTTTTACCATGACCAAAGAAATACTGACTGTCGAGAATAGATTGAAAACTATATGCTAAACCAAAATTATTAATTTTTTCTTGTGGATATAATTGCCAGTCATTATATGATTTTTATAACGTAAAGTATTTTATGTTTGATTTGATAGTATCATTTAACATTCTTGAGGTTTATGTTACATTAAAAACTTGTAGATCTGATATTATTTGTCATTAAGCTATGTTTATTTTGTTTATTTATAAGTATATTTGGTTTATAAATTATATTACAAAATGGTAAAGTTAATTCGTACAAATTTTAATAATTCGTTTTATAGATGACGCTGTACTATATTTTGTGTTGACAGAAGCCGAAAAAAAATAACAAGAAGCTACCGACTTCGGCCATGATGATAGCTTGATTATAATTTATATATGAAACAGATTTAGCCACACCTTTATTTTATTGAGAGAATATTGCGAGTTTATTATCGTTTAATACCGTATTTATGTGATGAATATGAATTCAACTATTGCCTTGGGATGGAGAACATGAGTGAAATATGCTACTTTATGGAGTTTATCACCAGCATAATTTGCACCAACAAGGGCAAGACGCAAGAAGTTGAAGAAGATAAACTAAGTTAAAGAAGTACAAGTAGGCTTGTTTATATTATTGTTAATAGTAATAATCAAATACTTAGTTAGTAAAAGTAATAATATTAAGTTGTTTGTAATTGGAATTTTAGTGTATATAACGTATGTAAAGTTATAGTTGTATTACAAGTTGTAAATATAAGTCTAAACTATCAGTATTAGTAATATAGTATCAAATAGTTTAGCAACTTATTTTTGCGTTTTTTTTTCTCAAAAAGGTGGATCTAATTTAGAAACATATAATTTATAAGTAAAAAGCTTAAGAAATTTGCATTATCAATAACAGACTCATGTTATAATAAAATAAATATCGTAGAAGATTAAAAAAAATTACCTTCCCAAGTTCCTGTAAGTGTTCGTTCAGTACGATTTTACTGTAAAACACAGTAATAATTACGTTTGACAGCATTAGACAAGGTTTTTTTAACATTCAGACACACACAATTCATACATAGACAGTCTGAGAAGCTTAGCCTTCATCAGTTTCACTTATTCTGTGTGGAGTTGGCAGACTTCATCATGTATTATAATAAATTATGCCAGTGTATTAGTAAGAAACACTGAAATGTGTATTATCTAATTAAGATTGTAATAAATATTAAAATATTTAGTTTTCTCTTATACAAATAATATACCTAAATAGGCATAAGACATGCTGTAAATTCTCACATGGGATTGGGTAAAACTGTTGAATGGTAAACTGTAAAAGAGTTGTAAGATAAGGAGATTATAGTACAGGTGCATGTGTTGTATGTTCACTTGATAACTAGAGATTTGATCACATATTAGTTCTATTTCTCTAACTGACTGGATCAGTATGTTAAATATAATAAAGAGATTGGACACAAAACAACAAATATTATATGTAGAAACCTAAACACAATTTGTGTGTGTGTGTGTGTGTACCTGCTTGAATGTTTAAGTACACTGGACTGTTTGCTCTGCCTGGATACTTTCTGTAGTTTGCTATACAGGAATGTGTTCAGCAGAATGCTTCTCTCAAGAAATGTTCCGGACTGACTAACCAAATGACATGTTCCTTAGGACATAAGAAATCTCACATTTACTCAGGATGACATGTGCTACCATATAATCAGTAATGCATGAAGGACGTACATTTCTTTATATGCAGAGAAGTAGAGTCTAACATGCAGTCTGATGTTTTTTCTCTTGTTGGCTCTGAAGCTGAGTTTGTGGGAGATTAAGGGCAGACTGGTGAGAATTTATACTCAATATTTTCAGCACTTTCTTTTACTCAAACAGCTAATCATGAGCCTCAGACAGACATTCCCCCTACTGTACCATTTTTGCAAATAGTATGTCAAGTTTGTAATGTTTTGAGTATTATTTCTCCCATAGATTACAAATCTTCTCTTTCTTTACTGGGGGAAAATCATTTGGCTGACTACCTGGTCCTTCCATCTTTGCCAGAAATTGCTGTGAGGAGACTTGCTGATCATTTGAGAGTGGGTGCTACCATACCTTGTCCTTCTCATTTATTGGATCAAAATGCTTTGGTTTTTCATCACCTGGAGAACCCTTATTTGGACTCTCAGAGGTTAGATCCTCTTCTTGCTATTTGGGACTCTAGATAAGATGCCACGGTTCATCTTAATCAATATAAGTTTCCATAATTTGTCTGTCCTTACAACAATTTTGCATTTTTATCATCTTTGCAACTGTTGTCTGAGGCCAATCACAGATCTCCTGCACAATTTTCAGATGATCTTAGTCATTTATTGATTGTACTTTGATCAGGTTATCGGCTTTTGCTCTCTTCTTGGTATCTTTGCTTGTTTGTTGTTGGGATCTTTTGGAGAATGATTTCTTGCTGGAGGGAGTTTGCTATCCTGCTTCAGCCGTTAGAGATATCAGAGAAGCTCCTTTTCTTAGACAGTTGGTTTTTTGTTGCTATTCCCAATTGCATGGAATCTTGAGTGGATGTGGCCCATCTCCACTCTTCCCTTTCTACTCTGGCTTCATGACTGTCCCAAAGGTCTTCTCCAGAACATTTTTCTGCATCTCCTGGTTGAGTTTCCAGACCTCTGGCTTCGGTACCAAGATCCATTAGAACACAAGGGTGATTCTGACCTTAACAGCAGGTATCCTCCTCTAGGGTGGAGTGCAGACTACAATGTTGGTGACTACCTTATAGGGTCAGGTCCTGTGAAGTCTCAGTCACTTCCTCTAGCCTTCTTGGTTTACAGTGGAGTCATTTCTTTCCCTTTAGTGGCTCTTTTCACCCAGTCTATGGATGACAAAATTCAGTGTCACTAATATCTACTTTTATATTACCTCATGGTGTTATCTCTGTTTGTGCACAAAAACCAATATTTTCAGTTTCTTACTCTTCCAATCAGCCTCACATCTGCCCCATATGTTTTTTGTTGGATAGTCAGATCCTTTTCACATCATATTCACTCAGTAGGCATTCGCAGTCACCATTACACGGAAGACTGGCTTCTTCTTGCCCCTTCCCGCCACTTGGCAGAACTTTACACTCGATCTCTGTTATCAGAAGCTGCAAGAGCTGTGTTCCTTATCAAAAAGGAGAAGTCTATTCTTACTCACACAGTACCTCATCCGTTTAGAGGTGTTTATCAATTCTGGACTAAGGCCCAACCTTCTCATTTATGTCTTCAGGCCATAGAAAGGGTAGTTCTTAAAATACAGTTGTCTCCTTCTCTACCAGTACATGCAGTTCTATCTCTTTTGAAGATGTGGGCATCCTTGGAGACACTTAGAAAAAATTAGAAACAAAAGCAAAATTGATGTTTATTACATTTAACCAAATAATCACCAACAGAACATTCAAGTTTTACTTTCACCTTTGAATACCTAGCCAACTTCTCTAATTGTTCTCAAAACTCCCACCTTCCCCAGAAATCCACTTCTCAAGTCATGACCGTTATTAACCCCTGTTGTTCTCTGAATTCCCGACTTTCAGCAGGTGGTCAGTGTTTGTTGCTCAGGGCACGTTTTTTATAGCTAAACCAATTATTGACTCTAACTTTCAGTACCACGTTAGTTGCCACAAAGATTAGGGCTTAGATGCCTAACTTCAACACTTGGCTGGGGCCGAGTATTACCGGGTAGCCCAATACCCTGCCAGGGCCGAATATCTGGCCGAGTACCCGTGCATCTCTAGACAAAATGCTTTAAAAAATTTAGATTAAAAAAGTGTACGATTGGTAGAAGTTAAGAGATGGCTGGAAAATAATGCAGAGGGATTAAAGAAAATACAGCAACTGAAGCAAGAGTGGAAAGGGGAAGGAGTGAAGAAAAAGAGGGAGAAGAAAAGTTGGGGGAGAAGAAAGAAATAATCAACTTAATTTCAAATTAAATTTAAACAACATGCAATACAATGATTTATTTATTTATTATGGTATTTTGTTAAGGATTTTATTAATTTGTTTAATAACCTATGACAGCCTCATTCCACACACACAGGCATAGGGAAAGCAATTAAATTTTTGTTCTGTTTTGTAATATCTAAATCATGATAACATCCACAGGGAAGCAATTATCGAAAAAAGACCACAGACCTTTATCAAAGATGTAGCAAGTGATTTAGAAAATCAAAATGAATGCTTTTTTTTTGTCAGTTTCAAAGATGTTTTTTTTTTTATAATTTGTAACAGTAGGTTTTAATACTTTACTAACAACAGAAGTCAAACAGTGATAAGCCTGTTGCATGCTGGATTCTATCTTGTTCTTTTTTGTTTCCATAAACATCTAGCTTCCTAAAGTAAGACCATAAATCACAGAGCTGTAATGTAACAAAGAATTAATGTAAAATGTGGTTATAATTAAAATATAGAAATCTACAAGAGAAAATACTTGGATATTGCTTATCCATATCCCACTATATATGTTATAGAGTTAAAGCATTTACTTCATAACTTCAATCAACCTAAATTTTCAATGAACAATAAAAAATGATTTATTATCTTTGACCTAAAATTGTCATTTGCTTAGTAATATGTGTGAATGTCTTCTTTTCTTCTAGGTGATTTAGATTGGTTAGTAACCACCAAAATTTGTTATGGCTACACAAAATGTACAGAAAGAGGTTGTGGGACTGAAGCAGGAATCAGATAGGAATGTGCTTCTCAACATTGGAGGTGATATGTGGCCTTCAGATAATACAGATTTTTTAGTAAATATCAATTCACACAAAATGAGGTAAGAGCTGGAAGTAGCATACAATAGGTGATATAGATGCAAATTTAACTGAAAAAAAATTAAACTTTGCTACAAAATCTTAAATTTTTTTATTAATGAAATATGACAGTTACAAAAGTATTCTATTATGTAATAAAGTATGTTCACATGCTATGTTTTTTTATGATGATGTTTTGAATGTAGGGGTAGTTAGTTTATTACATGATACATGTTTGTTTGAGGGAAGTATATCTATTACAAGTTCTAACTTCAAGAACATCAAATTTGATCATATATTAGTCAGTCACACTGTTTCACTTACATAGTTTGAGTAGTTTTACCAGTATTTACTTTTTAACTATAAAATGCACATTTGCATAGTCCTGATGAAGTTTTTACCAGTCTTTTTTTGTGTAAAATTCAGTGTTTTAGAATATTTATTGAAAACTTATTTTAAAAAACGTTTTTAAAGATACATATTCTTTTAAGCTATGAAGTCTGTCATTTTTTTGAGGAAAGTGACCAGTGGCATCTATAGTTTGCCACCTAATGAACAATATAAGAATACATAGGTTGACAACTTCATAATGATAACAGACAACACCATTATTTTGACGTGAATGCGGTAAGCACAGTTTATTTAAACAACCAGTACTAGATAATGATCCATCTAAACTTAGCTTTTCAAATTCATCAAATTATTCAGTGGAAACATAAAAGAACCAGCACATTTTACATCATTTGTAAAATATTTTAAACAAGTTAACGGTTATTATATTCACTCTTATACTTGTGTCTACCTAATATTAACTTTCAATCAAAACAAGCTACCATTTTTAGATACAGTTTATATTAGTTATTCTTAGCTTGAATCACATAATTAAAGTTCATTGTTTCTGATATGCCATTTTTTATTTCAGTAAACTATTTAATCGATATGTTGTTCTCAAACTAGCTCTATCATTCTCAAACAGGAGTAAGCTGGAAAGCCTTGTATTTTTTTATGTTTGGATGAATTTAGTTTTACGAGAGAAGTGTATCAAACATCCTGTTCTGAAACAGTTTTGATAAAAATAAAAGGTTTTAGTCATTAACATACTATGTTGTTCAGTTTTGTTTTAGTTAGTTTAGTCAACTTTTATAATATTTATTTAGCTTATATATCTTTCCTTTACATTCACTTCTATTTCTCTGTACATTGTTTACCAGGACTGCAACATGAATTGATCTTATACAGGCAGAGGCATGTTGATTATAACAGTAAAAGTTTTTGATCTATATGGGATATTGCATCAAAAATAGTTTCACTTCTGGAGTTAATATTGTTATATCAATTATATTTTCTCTAGAGCAGTAAATTTTTTACAGATTTCTCCTTCCATACAAGAAAACAGTTTTAAGAAAAATAACTTTCAAGAACAAGTCTGCTTTTTAAGATGGTTTCTGCCCCTATGTTTTATTAGAATTTTTGTGAAATTCCTGGATGAACCCTATTACGAACCACTATCATGGTTCATGGTAAATCAAACACCATTGTATTTTGTGGCAATATTAATATAAAACAATTGTTTTTTTTCATAATTTCACGTGTGAGGTATTCTAAATGCTGCACTTTAAAATCCTAATGATTGTATATTACAAAATATAGGAACAGATACATATGAAGAGCTTAGATGCAAAATGTATAAACCATTTATTCCTGCCTAAAATTAACTGCCAAAGACATCATCCTGATTATGTTTACTGTTTTAAAAAAAGTAAGTTTCTAAATGTTGTAATCTACTTTCTGTGTGTGTGTGTGTGTGCTTTGTGGGATGGGGGTAAGTAGGTTTTTAACAAGGGCAAATAGATTTTCCTAGCATTTTTGTCCATTGGACAATACATTTTTTTCAAAAATTCCACACCTCTGCTTTTTCACATCCTAAATTCTGTTTTAAACAAGTCCCTAACTTTTATATAGTTTTATAAATCCTCCAATCTCTCTCTCAACTGAAACATCCTAAACTTATGGTATTTATCATTGATTTCTTCATTTGTCTTCAGTAGGCTAACTAGTTTAATCTTTCCTGAGTTGTGCATAGATTTTGGCAGCATACCTAGCCATTTTTGCTGTAGGCTTCGGTGCTTGAATAGCTTCAAAGAGAAACTTGGTCAGTAACGATGACAAATATAATAAAATCTATCCTTCTCTTTCAAGAATCAACATAAAAAAAGTTCTATGACCTGCACAGGAGTTTTTTTTTAGTAGGTTTGCCCAGATTTGAATAAAATATTCATAGCTGTTTTTTTCTGTAGGCTGGTGAAACAAGAATAATACGAATAATAATAAGAAGAAGAGGAAAAACAAATAGATGAATTTTGTCTAACAATAGGAAAATCAACTTTTTTGCTATTATCAATATTTTAGCCATTGAGATAGAAAGTCTTGAGTGTTCTATAATAAATAATAATAATAATAAGGCTGGAGACTGTTATAAATATACACATTGTTTACTCTAATAAAACAAAGCATTTATAACTAGTATAACAGTACTTAAATGGCTCCTATATTTCTGCAATGCTTGAATGGCTTCAAAGAGCTTATGTTGGTAGCAAAGAAAAACTTCAAAAATTTTAGAGGTTGGAATTCTCAATTTCAAGAATCAACTTAAAAATAGCCCTACAACCTTTGCAGGTGTTTGTTTAGTTTTTACAAGCTGCCACAGAAAAAAGGCTATGAATATGTTACTGAAACCTGGACAGTAGTAATGAATGCAGTATTGAGTATGTCATAGGGTTGTTTTAAAATTAACTCCAATACGGTACTTCCCTCCACTCACAATATTAGCTATTCTTCTCCAGTGCTGCCTTCTATATGTAGTTTTTTTTTCATGCAGACCATAATCCTTCTGCTCTCCCTTATTGGAATTGAATGATTCTAACATGTCTCACGTGAATCATCATGCGTCACTTCTGCACCAATAGGAGCGTGACTTACGTGATGCATGTGACTCCCTCTATATGCCTCTACTGAACTATCACTTCTCATTTGGCAGCACTTGTGCTCAGACGTGTACCTTTTTATTTGTTTAATGTTTCGCATTCATCTTTAATATACTCATGAAGTGGTCTTCATTTATTTTCACTTCTAGTTTCTGTTAAGACTGTTTCTTAACTTCATTTTAATCCCAGTTTATTACAGTTGCATTGTTATTTATACTTTTGATTATTGGTTCACTCTTCCTCATTATTAATTCCAAAATTCATGTTACCACTTCAGCACTATATCTCATGCCTCAGGTGCGGGCAACCTGGTGGGGGATTTATCCATGTTTATTCAATGAGAGATTGAAAATTACGTGGGTCAGAGGAGTCAGTTAACCCTAATATGGTATTTTTGGACTTTGTTTCTTAGGTATATGACATTGTATCCTTTCCCCCTATTTCTTAAGAACTGCATCTTTCTTTACTACATGACATATATTCTCATCCCTATTTGGTTCCCCCCCAGATATTAGGATACATGCTGGACATCTTTCCTCACAATTATGTGATTGGCTTTGTATCAGTTTATATCATCATCCAGTCTGTCCTTTTCTGGACCAGCAATTGTTAGGTTCCATTTTGCCTGTTTGGGGTGCAGCCCCCAAATCTCCTGTAAGTCTGACCCATGCCCAATTTCCCCACCTTCATCTTACTCTTACTCTTACAACTCTTTTATGGTATCTCTCTGCCATCCATCTACTCTATGAGGCTCTCCACTGAAATCTTGATGGTTTTTCTGGGGACATCCTCTCCCTTCTTTCCTCCATGTTGGCTTGTTTGTTGTCTTGAGCTCTGGCTTTACATTTGTGGTTTCTCTGTTGTTGGGACTTTCAAGGTCATGATGTGACCTTAACTTGCATCCATTTATCATTATCTACAGGATTTACATATGGCCCCATTTCTGCAGTGATACATCTTTGACATGATCCCTGAGTCTTTGGAATCACGAGTTGCATCAGTACAACAACAGTCTTTTCAACCTTGTTGCCTGTTTGTTTCAGTCAGAGCCCAATGTGTCAGCTGTTACCCTTTCCTGTCCCTCCCCTTCCCAACCCTTACCTGTCCCTTCTTCTCAGGGTGATTCGTCTCGTCATCTAAGATGACGATGCACATCACCAACAGTATCAGTGACCACCCGGGGTGGGAACTTGGCTTGCTGATATTCTTCATCACTGGCTGGCATCTTTTCATCAAGGATCATTGAGTTCTTCAAGCTTTATCGGAAGGATTCATGATCCCATTTTTTCTTCACCACCCATATCTCCTATACCCATTTCCTTCCCTCTGACTAGGGATTCCATGACCAGCCAGCATCTGTCAGAGGCAGTTCAGAAACTTCTTTCTCAGTAGGCCATCGAACCTGTTTTACATCCTTCACCAGGTTTTTGTTCCAGACTCTTTGTTGTTCCCAAGAAAACCAGGGACTGGAGGCACGCCATCCATTTGTCCCACCTCACTTACTTTGTTCAACTGCCCCATTTTACCATTGAGTCATTCATCCTATGGTGGACATTTTCTCAGGGCTTATGGATGATCAAGATGGATGTCGCAAATACCTTTTTCCATATCCCTATATCACCACGGTCTCCTCCGTATCTTTGGTTCATCCATCAAGGGGTGGCTTATTTATTTTGTGCTCTACCCTTCAGTCTTGCTTCCATCCCTTATGCTTTCTGTCAGGGGGTAGGAGCTTTTGCTCACCATCTTCATGCTCTGGGGTTGTAATAACACCATTATATAGACGACTGGCTTCTTCTGACTCATTCTGAACTGGAATCAGCCAGCCATACTTGTCAGCTTCTTATAGTTGCTGCTTGAGTGGGCTGGTTAATCAAATTGGAGAACTCCTTCCTCTGATCTACCCAATATCTCGTCCACTTGGGTGTCTTTTTTAACACACATCTCAGTTGGGCCCAACCTTCTCCTCTACTACTTCATTCTATGGAATTGTTAGTTTGCCATGCACTTTCATTTCTCTCACTTTCTGCTCATGAGGT